TATTGCAGTACATAGGGGTTTTATATGGAGGTACCTTGCAGCCCTAGGTAATGAGTAGGAATACAAATTCCTTTACTCCAAATATTGACATAGTATATAGGATTTGCTGAATCACTTAAAACCTCTAGATAATAACACTTTAGTAGCAAAGCTTGCAGAATAGACAAATTGTATTTCTTTCCTTAGTTCCTGTTCCCAAAGTTGTTATGTGCCAGTTTTTCAGCACTAGAATCTATATTGACTATAAATATTCTTCTAGAAATTAGTTTGTAACTAGAATCTCATAAAGTAATTGTTTTTGTTTGCATTACAGTTTCTAATTTCCTTTCTTTTGATTTTTCAGAATATGACTGATTCATTTACATCTGCAAAGATGGGACTGCTTAAATAGCTGGATATTAAAAATCCTTTGGTTTTTATGAAGTATTGTACTTCCTGTAATTTATCAATGCATTCATTCTTTCAATAACTTAGATATTGTAATTATATCAAAAGAATCTGCCAGTTGTTGCTTTGAGCTATGCAGTATAGAGTATCATCCATCCGTGAGCCACATACACCTATCCTTATCTCAGCCAACTTGGCTATTTTTGTCAAACTGTAGCTTATATGAGATTTAGGTATGGAAATGGTTCTCTTCAAAAGAATTCATTTCTTTCATACAAAAAGAATGTGATGGATAATCCAGGAAAGCCTAATATTTCCTTCCAATTTCTTATCTTATACATTAAAAATATGTCCCATCAATTAAGTCTTATTCAGGCTAGGATTTTTGGCTGAACTATATGTGTGACAGTTTAAAATGTGGTAAGAAATCAAATAAAAATAGAGACTAAAATAATTCTTTGATGGAGTGAGACAGTATAAACAGTACATGACTCCTTTTTCTAGAAGATAATTTCAGAAAATATGTGTGAGAAATGAACGTTAGGAATCAGTTGTTTCTTTCTGATATTGGAGTATGTAGTTGACAATCATTGATTATGATGGGAGAAATATGAATGTTTCTAATTGAAAGTTATATCAAGACAATTTGCTTACAAGACAATTTGTTACAACAAATTATGTTCCATAATAAGCTTTGTACCATCAGTATGAATTCTTGTTATATTTAATTCAAATATTTCTCTGTCTTTCAGACATGCTATTAGTCTTCAATATATTTGAACTGCTTCCATATTTAAAGCATGAGTGAGTGTTTAAAAGAGTATAGCTGTGTGTTATGGTGCATGCCTGTAATTCCAACTGTTAAAGAAAAAGGCAAAAGGAGTTCGGGTTAGCTAGTCTGGGACATTTAGATACCATCTAAAAAATGAACTAACAACAAAGGGGTGAGGTCCTGCCTTTAATCCTTAAAACTGCAAAACTGCCCCCCTATAAAAAACCCACAAAACTCCCTCAACACACAAAAAAGCAATCCTCCAAACCAAACTAAGAGGAAATGAGGGATGGGGAAGGGAAAAAGAAAGATTGAGGCAAAAAATTTTGAAAAACATTGCAAACACATATGAAAAATAAGACAAGACAAAAAACTATCCTAAAACAAATAAGAAAAAGCAAACTGGACTAGGAATATATGTTGGTAGAGCACACTAACACACACATGTAATAAATGTATATGTATTCACATACATTGTTTCCTTTAAAGTATTAAGTACTTTTAAAATTATCTATCTATCTATCTATCTATCTATCTATCTATCTATCTATCTATCTATCTATCTATCTATCTATCTATCTATCTATCTATCTATCTATCTATCTATCTATCTATCTATCTTATCTATCTATCTATCTATCTATCTATCTTATCTATCTATCTATCTATCTATCTATCTAGTCCATCACAGGGCTTGAACTTAGGGTCTGGGTGCTGTCCCTGAGCTCTTTTTGTTCAAGGTTGGTGCTCTACCTCGTTGAGCCGAGCCACAGCTCTATTTCCTGCCTTATTGTTTTCTAATGAGGAAGCTTCAGGTTGGGGACTCCAGGATAGTCTGGAGTGGGGGTTGGTTGTCAAGGAAGGGATAAAGGTAGAGTTGATTACCAATAACCAATGATCAGTCAATTATGCCTATTTAATAAAGCTTCCATAAAATCCCCAAGAATAGGGATTTGTTACAGAGTAAATCCACATGCTGGGATCCAAACATCTGCCAATTTATGAATCCTCTATTCATCTGTATTCTTTTTTTAAAAAAAATGTAGGGCTGGGAAGGTGGCTCAGTGGTAGAGTATTTACCTTGCATGCATGAGGTCCTGGGTTTGATTCCTCAGCACCATAAAAGCAGAAAAAGCCAGAAGTGGTGCTGTGGCTCAAGTGGTAGAGCACTAGCCTTGAGCTGAAGAGCTGTGAGGCAGCACCCAGGCCCAGAGTTCAGGACCCATGACCACCACCACCACCAAAAAAAAACCCCAAATAGTAAAGGCCAGCATTTTCTCAAGTTCTGTGAGCCTTTTAGCATTATGAGCTCTGTATAATAGACCTGTATCTAATATCAAAAGCAGGAAGAATCTTATAGGATTAAGCCCTTCACCTGTGAGGCAGGATTCTGGGTAGACAGTGTCAGAATTGAGTTGTAGAACTCCTGATATTAGAGACGTGTTTGGTGGGGCTGCCATTTCTGTAATAAATGTGACATCTTCTTTGTATAGTGAATATTGTGAGAGTTTCTGGTGGGATGGTCAGTATGTTTCAAGCAAGTAATGTTTTACTGGAGTTCAACATACTGAACTTTTAAGTTAGGAATCTTGAATTTTCTTTTCCTTTTTTTTTGCTGGTACTGGGGGTTGAACCTAGGGCCTGGATACTGTCCCTGAGCTTTTCCTCTCAAGGGTGGTCCTCTACCACTTGAGTTATGGTGCCATTTTCAGCTTTTGAGTGGTTAATTGGAAATAAGAGACTCATGGATTTTTTTGCCCAGGCTAGCTTTGAACTATGATCCTTACATCTCAGACTTGGGGAGTGAGCATTACAGGTGTGAGTGAGCATTACAGGTGTGAGATATCTATATCTATAGATCTATAGATGTCTATATATATATATGTATATATATATTGCCAGCCCTGGGGCTTGAACTAAGGGCCTGAGCACTGTCCCTGAGATTCTTTTGCTCAAGGGTAGCATTCTACCACTTGAACCACAGCACCACTTTTGGCTTTTTCTGTTCATATGGTACCAAGGAATTGAACACAGGGCTTCATGTATGCAAGGCAAGCACTCTACTACTAAGCCACATTCCCAGCCCTGATATATTGGTTTGTTTTTTTAAAATAAGATTTTTATTGTAAAAATACTGTACAGAGGGGTTACAGTTACATGAGCAAGATAATGAGTACATTTCCTATTAAGCATTGTTACCTCCTCCTTTGTTTTTCCCCTACCCTTTCTTCCCTCCCACCTCCACAACTGCACTCCCCCCATTCCCTGCCTAAGTTGTAAAGTTGGTTTTTCAACATAGTGTCTTGTACATCTCAATGTTACAATGGGTCAACCTGTATCACTATTTAAGCATTTTGTTCTTTCCCTTCCCCTTCCCAAGCTAGAGAAGTGTATATACAAGATGCAGGGCACCATCAAAAACAGTGAAAACAGGGAGTATACCGTGGGGGAGGAACATACAAAGAAACAAAAAAAAAATCACATGGCACATTATAAATACGTTAGGAACAATAGCAAGAAAGAAAAAAATCACTTGTGTCCCTATCTTGGGGTTCATTTTGCTTAACATCATCTTATCTGGTCGTACGTATATAGCTTTTGACAACAAATCAAAGAAAGGTTGGACAAATGGGATTTCATGAAGCTGTAGAGCTTCTGCATGGCAAAGGACATAGCTAGCAAGATCAATAGAAAGCCCACGAATTGGGAGAAGATCTTCACTAGCCATACAATGGATAAGGGTCTCATATTGAAAATATACTTGGAACTCAAAAAATTAATCCCCCAACAACAAATCCTCAAAGAAACAACTGCCCAATAAACAAGTGGGCTAAAGACTTCTTCTGTGAAGAAGAAATAAGAATGGCCAATAGACAAATGAAGAAATGCAAATCAAAACAATATTGAAATTCCACCTCATCCCAGTTAGAATGAATGGCTTTAATCAGGAACTCTAATAACAACAGATGCTGGAGGGGATGTGGCCAGAAGGGAACTCTACTGCATTGTTGGTGGGAGTATAAACTTGTTCAACCACTTTGGAAAGCAATATGGATGTTTCTCAAAAGACTCTACACAGAGCTCCCCTATGACCCAGCAATCCCACTTTTGGGCATTTACCCAAATGATCACAAACAAGACCATCTAAAGCTACCAGCACAACTCTGTTTATTGCAGCATTATTTACCGTAACTAAGATATGGAACCAATCCAGATACCCCTCAGTAGATGAACGGATCAAGAAAATGTGGTATATACATATATGCAATGGAATTCTATGCCTCCATCGGAAAGAATGACATTGCTCCATTTGTTAGGAAATGGAAAGACTTAGAAAAATTATAATAAATGAAGATATATTTGTTTTAAAAAAAGCTTTTACTTAAATTAGGAAGCAATATATACTCCATGTAAACTAAAATGCAAGCAAAATTCTAGGGCCAAGAGACAAGGATGGAAACATTTCTATTCTTCTTTTGGTGGTACTAGGTGTGGAATTCAGGGTCTTGTGCCTGCTTGGCAGGGATTTTAGCACTGGAGTCTAGGCCTTTTTTTCTCTCTCTAATTATTATGTTTTCTGTGTAGCTGGGTTGAAAGAGACATGGCACTACACTCAGCTTTGTTTTTTGAAAATATGGTAATTACTTTTGTTTAGAATTGCACCAAATATGACTTCTAAGGCCAACGGATTATTATTATACTAAAAAAGGTAAAAAAGCTATTAGTCTTGTGAATGTTTTGTTTGGGGTTAGTATCAAATGTGATGTCTGACGACAGCTTATCTGGTGGATATAGTGAGTGCAGGTGCTTTTATATATTATGGACTTGTACCTGCTCTTACCTGAGCCATTTTTCAGGTATCCATTTGCATCTACAGTTGTATACATGATATAGGGTCCAGGCTGATTCACCCCAAATGGCTGCAGAAAGAAAGGATATAGTTAGCTTTGGAAAGTACGTGAATGATTAGAAACTTTAGAAAAGTTATTACAAATAAAACTAATCTCTATAATTCTTACGTAATTGATGATTACTTCATGGACACTTCTAAAAATATGTAATACATGAAAATGGAAACTGGTTAGAAAATTCTTAACATTTCTGCACGACTTTATAGTTGCATTTGTATGGGTCATTACTTTAACTGGGTATTTCTGTTTTTTTTTTCTTAATATATATTTTTTATTGTAGAGATACTGTACAGAGGGGTCACAGTTACATGAGCAAGGTAATGAGTCTATTTCCTATTAAGCATTGTTACACCCTCCTTTATTTTTCCCCTACCATCCCTTTCCTTCCCACCTCCCCAATTTCTCCCTTCCCACCCCCCAAAAGATTTAGTATTGTTTCTCTCTCCCCAATGTTCATTCCTTTCTTCCTGAGTAACTTATACTATCTTTTGCTGTCTTATTTCATCAGAATGTTCAAATTTATTGGCATGAGGTTGTTCATGGAGTTTTGTTTTTGTTAATTCTTTGTTTTATCTGACGTTAGCACCTATTTAGCATCTTTTTTCATGTGTAATTGATTATATTTGAGCTTTATCTATTACTTTTCTAGGGGGCTTACTCAAAAGTTGTCTTTAATTGCTTTTATCAAAAAAATCAGAATAATTTTCTCTACTTTCAGTTTTTGCATTTTTCTTTGTCTCAGTATGTTTTCTACTTTCTTTCCTTTTTCTGGTATCATTTTTCATTATGTTTTAGTAGTACTAGGATTTGAACTAAGGGCCTTCTATTTACAAGGCAAATGCTCTGTCATTGTAGCCATGCTTCCAGCCATTTGGGCTTTAGGTAATTTTTTCCATCAGATCTTTTTTTTAAATTTGATGTCTTGAAAGTAATAGTAGAATATGTTTTTTTCCTATTTTTAATAGAAATTATGAAATGCAAACTTACATTTACAATGCTTTCTCTTACAATGATTTGATATTTTGTTTTTAAGATGCCTGTTTTTAAAGAAAGAATATATATATACACACATATAAATATGTATGTATGATTATTCTAAATATAATTATTCTAAAAATAATACACTTATTCTTATCACAAATTTTTTTTAATGGGTTGGTGGAGGAAAGAAAGACCCTATGCTTGGGACTATGCTTCTTCTTCTTTTGGAATAGGTCTATTTTCTATTATAAGTTAGCTTGATGGTCTTTATGACATTCTATTTTTTCTTTTTTTTTACATTATTATTATTTTCAAGTAGTTGTACAAAGAAGTTCCCATTCTACAAAACAGTATATGAATACGAGGTATCAGACAACATTGTCACCCATCCCAACATGGCTTTGAGAAAGGTGTAGGAGGGGCATTTGGCCCTACCTGACAAACCCAGCAAGAGCAAAACCAAAATGTTTTCTTTTGGTCCAATGAGAAATCCAACCTTTTCTTCTAAAGAGAAATTAGAGTGCCAATAACTTGTCAGACTATATTTCTCTTTTTTCAAATTTTTTATTGTGATTAAGTGGTTTCATAAGTTCCCAAATTTCACAGTACAGACTATATTTCTTAACTGAGAATTAAGATTCTAATATATCACAAACTGCAAAGAAGCTGCAAGCCGAGTTACTAATTTATAGATGGTCTGAATCTGATGTCAATATCTTTTGTGCATGTGGTGTCAATATAATCCGTGGACACATCAGCATTCCTGTACATATAACTGTACTTGCTTCATCTCAGTAATTACTATTTTAAAAACTGCATGGAACTACAAAGGAAAGTAAATATGAAATCTTATATAAAACCTTGAATATTCAAAAATCAGAAACATGACCCAACAACACTGATATCCACTTAAGACTGAAGAAAGAAGATAAATTAGACTTTCTCTTTTCAATAGATTTTCTTTCGAATATTCCCAAATGACTCTCACATTACCTAATATTCTCTTATATACAACCTTCTTGAAAGTATTGGCAGTAGTTATTTTTAAAGTATGAGTATACCAAAAGCAAATCTCATATTTATTCCAAAGAAGGAACCACTACTAAGAATCAAAGCCTAGTAATTCTGTTCTTACCAGACAGATGTTATGTGTTTTGGCATGGTATATAAAAATCAGTTATGAGAAGAACAGGAAAAAATTAGTTGTTTTCACTATTGAAATAAATGATTAAGCAGATTTCTGAAACCTGAAATTGTCAATAGGATGAATGATCATCCTAAGAAATATTCTAGATGCTGTCATTATATAATATAAAAAGAACTGAAATAAAAATGTAATAGGACACAAAGAAGTTAATCTGGGCCTTAGAGAGATATTTCTGAATTAAGTTGAAGGAATGAACATTCTTTGGACAGGGACTAAGCACAGGTTACTATGTCTAACATCATATGAGGCTAGTAGTATCAGGAATCTGAGGTACAGGTTATCCTGGCATTTGATAGGAGTGCTGACAATATTCCATAGGAAGTCTCACATTAACTGTGATCTGGAGTACTGATATATTCTAAAAGTGATAGAACGAAATCCATTTTCTGCTGCTGGATATTCTATGAGTTTCTGGTTGATGGTCCCAAACTGGTCAAATCTGTCATTTTGTAGTCCCATCCAAAGCTGCTTGTGATCTTTTTTCTGCATTTCATTAATTACTTGACTTTTATGCTTTAAAGCATCAGCTTCTTTTATACAAGACATAAAATGAGCTTCAATTGCATCTTTAGATGGACAGTGGAGAAGGTCCTTTTCTGGAAAACTCTTAAAATGTACTGTGATATTCGAAGGAAGAGCTGAATTCGATGAAAGAAGATCAAACAGCAAAACAACTGGATAGTGCCATTTCAGTGGTGTGCCTTCATATTCAAACCATATCTCACTAATGTCTTCTTGTCTCATAATCTTCTGAAAATGCTTTTTCACTTTGTCAGTTACCAACGTCAAATAACTTACTCTTGGCAAAAGCAAATAATATGCTTCTGCTTCCCTTTCAGTTATCTCATCCTGGTACAGAGTGAAGCAAGTTGGAATTCATCCAAACCACACATCTCGAAGTACATCTTTGTCATCTGTCATTCTTCCAGTGGTTAAAGCAGTACATATAGGCTAAATTCTTTCTTCAATCAAAGCCAAACTTCTCCGAGCACCGGCTCCTTCTTGCTTCCAGCATGGTGAGGTAGCACTATCCCAGCACTGCCTGCTTGACCCACACAGTCCTGCAGACACACGGGGACTAGGAGTCCGGGGAGCTCGCGCAGCCGAAGGAAGCCGAAGGAAAGCACCAGCTCCGAGGTCTGAGCGAATCCTGCTGTATTTCCACCCTCTGGTTCTCAGGGAATACAACCGGCATCGCCGCCGCCTCTTTATTACATTCTTGATGGTTCTTTATATCTAAAGGTATATTATTTTGTGTAAATGTCTGTATCTGAATTCTTTTATCTAAGGTAAGAGATTAATATATTTTATTTATTCAATAAATGCAACATACAGTAATATATTAAAAGACATATGTCATAATTAATGGAATGTTCAATCAACTCAAAAATAACCCAGAGCAGAATGCAAACAATGGATGGATCTTATTTTGTATTCAACCTGCTAGTCTTCTTCTTTTGATTGGAGAATTGAATCCATTAGTAATTAGGATTATTATGGAGAGATGTGTCATGTTTCCTGCTATTTCCTTGGTTTCCTGTAGTTTCTTTATTTTTCCTCTTCCTGGGTTTACTTTATTGATCTTGTAGTGATTTTTGTCTGATGTGTTTCTTTGATTTTGATTGCTTTCTTCACATTGTATTCCTTCCCTTTAGAATTCTTTGTAAGCTGGTTTAGTGATCATGAATTCCTTTAATGTTTGTTTGTCATGGAAGGTTTTGGTTTCATCATCTAATGTAAATGATAGGTTTGCTGGGTAGATCAGTTTGGGTTGGCAGTTTGGGTCTTCAGTGCTTGGATTCTACCATTCCAGGCTCTCTAGCATTGAGGGTTTGTGTGGAGAGATCTGCAGTGATTCTGATTTTCTTTCCATTTTAATGTAGCTCCTTCTTTAATTTTGTGGCATTTAAAATCAGTTCGCTGCAATTTATGTCTTATGTTTTTACTATAATGTGTCTAGAAGTCTTTCTTCATGAATGCAGTCACTGGGGATTCTATATGCTTGTGTTAACTAGGTAAGATTTTCTCCTTCAACAGTGGGAAGTTCTCAGCTATTATTTTACTGAATAGGTGTCCGATGAATTAACTATTAAATTCTTCCTCCTCATTGATCCCAATTATGTGTAGATTTGATTTCTTAGCCAAGTGTGCCAATTTTTGGTCTCTCTTTGGTAGGTTCTGAGTGTTTTTCCCCCATTCTTTTGACATTTTGTTCTAGCTCCTCTGTTTTATTCTCCCCTTCTGAAGTTCTATTTTCCATTCACTTATTCTGTTAGCTATGGATTCCACTTGGTTTGCATTGGGGAAATTGAACCTTTTATGGTTCCAAGGTCATTTCTCATTGTACTTGAACTCTGGGCTTAAACTATGGGCTTGGGTGCTGTCCTTGAGCTCTTCAGCTCAAGGTGAGTGCTCTACCACTTGAGCCACAGCACTACTTCCAGTTTTCTGGTGGTTAATAGATTAGAGTTTCACAGATTTTCCTGCCCCTACTAGTGTTGAACCACGATCCTCAGATCTCAGCCTACTGAGTAGCTAGAATTACAGGCATGAGCCATTGGTGCCTGGCACTATTTCATTGAGGTGTATAGCGTGTAGTGTGTCTATTTTCCTCTCTGTACATGTATTTTCCTCTCTGTACCATTCGTAGAGTCTTAGCTTTCCTTTATCATTTCTTCTTGTTTTTGCACCTCCACTTTTATTTTATTGACCAATTCTGCCATCATTTCTTTAAGAATGGTTAAAGAAATGATTGCATTTAATTTTTAAATGTAAATGGATCAAATACTTCTCTCAAAAGGCAAAGATTACCAGATCTGCCAGGACAATGTGAAGCTACTACATCCTATCTACAAAAGATGTACTTTTTCAATTGGTGACTGTCTTCAGCCCATGACAAAGGTTTGGCATAGAAGCAAGAAAGCTAGGTAAACTTCCTCTGTAACTTGTTCAGCACTGAGGGCACTGTAGAGTCCAACCCATGTGTAGACTTAAATACAGCTAAGCATATGAAAATGTTAGGTGAAGTGAATTGATTAAAAATCAAAATCTGGCTCCCATTTGGTTATGGGGAAAGCCATTTAGCCACAGGGTCTCCAGCCAAAGACAGTAGATAAGCACATATACTAGCAAGCCAGCAAGGGAAAGCCCTAAACCACTCAACCCTGGGAGCAACACACACACACACACACACACACACACACACACACACAGACACTCACACACACCACACATATACTACAAGAGCAACTTTGCAGTCTCCAAATGAAACATAAATGAGAACACTAGGTAGAAAAGGGAAAAACTGGCCAAGGACAAGCATTGAATCTGCTATAGATTTGTGAGCAGGGAAGATGTGGTCATTGAGAATTGCAGAGTGCTTTCTACTACTTACCTATGCGTAGAGATTCCAGCATCTACTTCACCTGTTACTTCATAAGCCTGGAACTGGCTTACCCCACCAGAAACCCAGCAGAGCTCCTGAGAATTGTTGCTACACATAAAATCTGTGCTGTGCATCACTACAGCAGCTAGCCCTGGTCCATAATCTCAACTAGCCTTGGAACACTGCACCTAGGCAGCACTTGTACAATGCATGGCTCAGAGAGTAAACACAAGAAGAAAACTAAAGGTAGAAAGCTGAGGATTAGAAATTGGAGGACAACATCCACTTTAAAATAAATTTTGTTTTATTTTTATAATGTTATTTGTTTTGCATATTCTACTTCTCATTTACTAATGTTTCTACTAATGTTTTGTTGTACTTTCTTTTAAATTCACTCCTATCCCTTTACAGCACTTGATTGTACTAATCCTTTTGTGTAAGAACTAAACTGTATATTCCTGAACATTAGCATTTTGTTTATATTCAGCCCATATACTTCACCTCAACTCCCCATCCTCTTTGTCTTCCCTCAAGCCTATTATTAAATATTTTTTCTAACCCCTTACTATATCATATAAGAAGAGCAGTCCCTTCCACACATAACATGATTGGTTATACAGATGTCATCAGTGGCTTTTCACTTCATGTATTTAGTTGGTATTAAGTTGGTAAATTTATAATAGCTCAGTTATAACCCTGGCTAATGGTGAAAACTGGAACATTAACCCAGACACTGCCTACTCCTCTCAGAGTAGAGAATAATTAAAAGAATTTTGCTAATTGAACTTCTAACCAATGACTTTTGATGAATAAATCTCAACATTTTAGAAACACAAGAAATATGAAAAAAGCTAATATGACACCTCAAAAAGTCAGCCATCACACAACAAAAGATCTGAATGACACTTCAAATTTTGAGCTCCAAAGATAAGAAGGACATTAAAGATGAAAGGAAATGTTTAAAAACCTCAGTGAAATCAAAGATAATATAAACAGCTAAATGAACTCAGGATACAAATAAATAAGGAAGACAAGACATCAAAGGGAAATTCAGTAAAGATAAATGAAAATTACAAGATAAGTCAAATCTTGAGAAAGGAATGCTTATCCAGGTGCTATAGGCCTTTAAGTGTTCAAACAGAGAAGTCTAGACTCTAAATTCTCCACATAATACAGCACAGAAATAGAATAAAGTACAAAAAGAAACCACATTATTATGCAAATAGATATGGAAAAAAGCTGTGACAGGACTCAGCATCCTTTCATAACAAATCCTGGAAGAAAATACAAATAGAAGGAACAGACGTCAACATAAAAAGGTTATCTATGATAAACCTATAGCTAACATCATTCTAAATGGGGGAAAACCTGAAACCATTTTATCTGAGAGAGGTGTGTCCATGCTCTCCACTCTTTCTCAATACAGTGCTAGCAAGAGCTATATGGCAAGAGAATGGAAAGAGAAATAGGAAATGAAGAAGGAAAATTATCTCTATTTGCAGATATTATCTCAAAGATCTTTTAAGACTCAACCAAAAAGCCTCTTAAATTTGATACCACTTTCAGCAATGTTTCATGATACAAAACCAATACTAAAAAATGAGTAGCTTTTCTGTGTACCAATAATGAAGACTGACAAAGAAATAAGCTCATTGACAATAACCTAAAAAAAACCCTCAACAACCTAGCAATAATCCTAACAAAGGAAGTGAAAGACTTCCTACCTAAAACTATGAACCATTTAAAAAAAAAAAGATACAAACCACCAGAAGATGAAAAGACCCCCACATTAATGGATTGGCAGAATTATTATAAAAATCATTTTACTACTGAAAGTGATCTACAGATTGAATGAAATCACCATTCAAATTCTAAGGTTTTTATTTACAGAAATATAAATATCAATCCCGAAATTTGCTTGGAAGCATAAAAGACCTCAAATAGCCAAAGCAGTTCTAAAGAAAGATAGCTATGTGGAAGGCATCACAATACCTGACTTCATATTATACTATGTCATAGTAACAAAAGCAGCAAAACCAAATTGATGGGACAAAAACAGATACCTTGACTAGTGAAACAGATAGAACACACAGAAACAAACCCACACAGCTATAGCCACTTGATTTTTAACAAAGGAGCCCAGAATTTATGTTGGAAAAAAGGCAGCCTCTTCACCAAATGGTGCAGGGAAAACTGATATTCACATGTATAAGAGTGAAAGTAGGCTACTTCTCATCTCACACACAAATCAATTTAATATGCACTAGCAATCTTAGTATAAGGCCTAAACTTTAAAACTGCTAGAGGAAAATAATGGGAAACACCTGAAAATACAGGGATAATACTTACTTAAATAGAATCTCAAATGATGAAAAATAACAAGAATGATTGAAAAGTAGGCTTTCCTGGAATGAAAAACTTCTAACAGCAATGGAAACCATTTCTAGAATAAAAAGAATACAACAGAACCGCATATCCACCAGTGTATAAAAGATTAATATCTAGAACATAATAATAACTCCTAATATTAAATACCTAAAGAATGGATATCTGAACTAGTAAATGAGTAAATGAATAGTTTAAAAGAAGTACAAATGACAAACAGG